CGGGTCCCGCCGCTCCCGCCGAGGCACCTGGCACCCGCTGCTGCCGGTACTTGCCGTGCCCTTAGGCTGCAGGGCTGGCGAGTAGAGCTGCCTCCCAAACACTCGTCGTCTGAACTCATCAAAGTCCCCGTAGAACCCCTTAGGTTGTACAGCCACGTGAAACCTGCGTGCTGGGAGAGCGGGTGTTATTCTATCAATATATGTAAGATGCTTTATTTGGAGAATAGTTATCAGCTGCCGCGAGGTAAAACTCGGCTGCGTACAGACAAAGCTGCAACTTGGTACAGTTCGAGCCCTCTCCTATATCCCTTAGAATATCCATCGTGCTTTTACCCAGCAAAGCTCAGTAATTGAACCTGCTCCTTCAGTCAGTGCTTGCCTAACTCCTTGTGTACTTGGAAGCAGATCTTCTCTGAAATTTGGGGGTTGTCTCAGTTCTGGGATTATGCTGAGTAAGAAAACCAAAGCCCTGCAAATATCTTTGTACCCAGTTGAAGCAGGTGGGTATTATGTGTGGTTTACTCGTCTGCTCTCTTGGCATCAAACTATTTTGGAGAAAACCAGCATTTGTTTCTGGGCAGTTCTGGTGTTCGTTTCACCCCTTGTACAAGTATCTTACTTTTTTGCTAATGACCAAATTGTGTGAGCTCCCTTGCTCTGTTCCTCCCCCACAGTCAGAGCGGTTTGGGTGGCGGGGCGGGAGTTACGTGCTCTATGTGCTGCTGGTGTTGGGGGGGGGAGAACTAGGCCCAGGTTAGCCTAGTGCTTTATAGGAACTCTGCCCCTGGTTTTATGAAATTCCCTTACCAAGGTCAGTACATTAAATCAGAGAAAATATTGCCTGCCCTGATGCAGTGAATTCTTCTGGGGTACCGAAGTTGAAGGGAGAGAGGCTGGTAGCAGGTGCATCGTTCAGACATGTCCAAAAACTTTTATCCTCTATGGTTGTCTGCAGTCTGATTTTGCTTATTTTAAAATATTTTTTCTTTCATGGACCTAATAAAATTGTAAATGTGAACAGGATGTTTGAAGCAGTTCATTTAGTTATGGTATGTTTTTAAATTGGAAAAAACCCCAAAGGGATAAAATGGGTAACAGAAAGGAAATTTTCATTTGTAATTAGGGCATTCAAAGGCTCTATAACGTTTGATAAAAGAAATTAACAGGCTTTGTTTTTTGTGTGAGGCAGGGCTTACTTAAGTAGGTCACAATGCTGGTAGCCAGGAGACCTACTTTCTTAGCTTTGCTGCTTATCTGTGCTGTGATCTTGTGCAAGCAACTTCATTTTTGATCCTTCTCCTTCTTTACTATTTTTTTTCCCCTCACAGGTCCATTCACACTGGAGGGGAAAGAGTTTATCCTTATGTGCTCTGCACAAAAAGGGGACAAACTCTTAACTGGAAGTTTGAGGCCCTGTTGTCATACCAAAATGCTCTCCGTAGCTGCCTTGCTGTAAATAAGCACGCAGGAATGTGGATTACTTTGCAGGCTTGCTATGTGGGCATTTTATAGGGTACCTGTATAAGAACAGGTACGTTGGAGATAAAGATCTCTGATAGACATGAGGTTCACAAGGTTTTTGATACCCACTGAAATTCCTACACATCACTGCCTGGAAAGGTGACCACGTGTAGTGGATCTCAGGGCTGCTGGGACATCCTGTGCTCTTTGCTGGCCGCAGCAAGAGCTGCCTAGGGAAGGGTTGAGTCTGCAGGCAAGGTGTTTTCAATGGGCTTTTGACGGTGCTTAATCCAGATGGCTTTATGACTGGCTGGTGATGAGTTGTTACCACCTGAAGGAAAACACCCAGGAAGCCTGAGAGAGAGAGATGTCTTCTCAGCTGTGGGAGCACAGGCTGCCCCAGGAAGCTATACTTGTGAATCACCCTTGTTACTGTCTGGTTGAGTCATCAGAAATGATAGACTAGGAAATGTAGGAATTAAATTAACATGTGAATTGTGCCAAAAACCACAGCCCAACCAAAACCGGAGCACATCTGCAGGGTTTTGGGGTTGGTTTTTTTTCTTTCTGTTTTGTTGGGTTTTTTTTACACTGAACCCTCTTCCATGCAACAATTTTTTCGTTTGCTGGCCTTAGGGGAATGCAGTGGCTGTGAGCCATGTACATGTGCTTGCTTAACAACTTTTAGAGAATTCTTTGATGATCAGGTTGTGATAGATGGTAAAAACCCTGATGGCATGGGAGGCTATGCGTATTTGCTCTTGTTCGCCCCTAAAAATAATTAAAAAAAGGGGGTGGGAGGAACCAAGCTTTCTACTTCAAACCCTGGGTTTCTTCTCTGATTCCTTCATGGTTTTTTACTGAGATGGGCTTGTATTAGGTTAACCAAAAATAATGCCTTAATCTTTACATGTGTAACCTGGAAAATATGAAGCCTGTTTACTTGTATGATGACTTCATAAGGGAGAAAATAGGTTGGAAAATTAGCTAAGCTTATTAGAAGCGCACCTTATTTCTCTTAAATGACTTTGTACACAGTTTTACAAAATTAAATTTAATCTTCTAAAGTGTGTCAGATGCTAAAATTTCCAACTCCTTTGCCTTGGCGTTTGGCTACTGATTAAAGCATGGATTACCCTGCAATTCCATTGGTGTTAATGCCTCAATGTATGTTGTTTTTCAAACAGTAATCGCTATTTTCTCTTGATCTTGGGAAATTTACTTCTGATCCACACATGCAACAATGTGAGCTGATATTACGCTTCTTGTCACCTACATATAAAAAGTATTCTGTGGTAATGACAGTATTGCGATGGATCTTTCCCTGCAGTGAAATATAATAATACCTAACTGAGCAAAGCGTTGCACCACTTTTTATTTACAGTAACAGTGGAAATGTTATGGTCAGTCACCTGCAGCAATGTTCTTGCCCTTGCATCATCAAGTTGTGACTCAGAACCATGATAGAAAGGCAGAGCTCCAGACAGGTCAGGATAATTCCTAAAATCAAATTGCTGCCAAGACTCTGGCCAGGTCTCTGGGATTTACCCTGGCATTCTGGGTTAACCTGAAAGGGTTTCCTTCTTGTGGGTTTCTCTAATCTTCTGTTTCTAGGTAGTACAGTGGCGAGATGACAACTGTGATTCTGCAGTTCCTACAAGGTTTTTTGTACATGTGGCTTTGTATAATTTAGCCAGTAATAGCCGTGGTAGTTTACAGTTCTCTGTACTTTGCAGTACTGGCAATTCCAAACGTTTGCACTTTCTCAAAAGAAGCAGTAAGTTGACTTAAAGCATGGTGTTTGATTCTTATATTAAATCCTGCCTATTTGAACATGGAGTGCCCCAAAATGTGTGTTTGGGTCTCTAGGGGTATGTCACCCCACATTCTCCAAATCTTCTTTTAAGCAAAAGGTCTAAAGAATAAAAACAAAGCAAATGCCCTGAACCCTACCCAAGTCTCTTGTCTCACCAGGTGTGGGGGGTGGTGTCTTTTTAAGACAAAACCCTCCAAAATAGAAGGACTTTCTGACATGGTGAGAAAAGCAAATGCTAGTAGTACATGCTCCCATTCGCACATCCCCTCAGCTCCCCTCCCCAGCCCCACTGCACCACCACCACTGACTTTGGAAAGTGGTGGAAGAGCTGTGTATGTACATATGCATTACCTCGCCAGGCGAGCTCAATTTAAATGCGGCCTATTAAATTATTTACAGAAGACAGTTGGCCAACCCATTGTGCTGTGTTAGTAAGGAGCCAAAGGTCACTTTGGTGTGCCTGGTTGATTCATAGGGTAATCTGATACAGTACTTAGCTTTCTGCCTCCCAGTCAGTGGGTTAAACCTTATCCTCTTATTATGAGTCAGAGAACCATAAGTTTCAGAAAAAGCCAGGGCCTTTGTTTTTAATAGTTTTGAAGAGGCTGTGCAGCAGAATCCAGAGAGCTGCAAGAGCATCTGCCAGGGGGTTGAGGCGTGTTCTGCAATAGTGTAAATGTGACTGACAGCTTGGGAGCTGAAACACTGTACTCTTGTTTTCTTAAGCTGCTTTGCTTTTTGCTAACATCATCTGCAGCCATTAGGATGTTAAGGTATTAATGCTTATTCTTCAGATAGGTGGCACTTTTATAATTTTTTTTTCTTTCTGAGTTCCTTGCTACCAGCATCTCCTTGAGGATTCACTGAGCTGATTTTATTGGGCATCTCATACATTCAAGTCTATTCTTTTGCTGCGAGATACAAACTTGTGTGGTTTTGGTGAACTTGCATCTTGGTGACAAATCCCATTAAAACCCCTTGGGATGCCTTGGTGTAGCCAACTTCTGCCTGCTTTAAAATGCTGCTTTTGCCTCTCCCGTTCCAGGAAGCTTACTCCCTCCTGGAAGCAGCACTGGTTTTGGCATGCCGGGTGAGCTACTGGGTTGCAGCAGCTTTCAGCGGTGCCTGACTTTTTAAAAACTTAACACCTTTCTCCAGCCACTAGTTTAAAGAGAAGATGGCAGAACAAAGCACAGCTGGGAGTGAAACCTGTTTTGTGAGCTGCAGTCACACCAGTGGGAGCCAGGTCACTAAAATCGTCTGCTCATGCACAGATTTTGTCTGTGTCTATGCACTTGCTTTTTTTTTTTTTCTTTTTTTTTTTTTTTTAATGTACTACCAGGTACAGGGGCACTCTGTTCCAGGTGCTTGTGGTGTTTACCAGCTCCAGAATTTTATTTTCCTCTCTCCAAGTCTGCAGAGGTGCACAAGCGCTTTTGTATTTCTGCACGCAAGGTTCAGGAGTTTGTGCTGCCACCGAGCTGGCTGAGGAAAGGAGGAGTTTTGCTTCTGCGGTCGTGCTTTTAGGAGAGCGAGCCTATCGTATTTCACTCTAATCCTAAGCGATAGCCGCGCAGTCTGTTTTATTGTTAGAAGAGCCTTTCCTGGAGCTCCTTCACCGGGCTTTTCACTAGGGGAGAGCAGGGCAGCCAGAATGAGGAGGCAGAAGTGTGGTCAGTCCATCGTCCCTCCTGAGCTGTGCCATGCTGGGGTGTGATCTCTGCCTGCTCTTCCCCGTCGTGGGGTGTTTTTGATGATCCAGAAGAGAGGACTGAAGCGCGTGGACACTCCTGGGGAACGATGCCAGGGAGAAGAGTGGAGATACAGTTTTTGCTGTTGAGTGAAGAATGGGGAAAACATGTGCCTTAGTGCTGTGTTCTGCTCAGCCTTTGCATGCTTCTCTGAGCCTGCTGCAAGGTGCCACTTTTTGCTGCTTTCCTCCCCTTTGTTTTCTTTGGCAGCTCCCTAAGTGCTGTATCAAAACAGCTTCAGGGGAGCTGCGCTGGCACGGTGACCTACCTCCACGCTGGTGCTGGTTTAAATGCAGCAAGAAGAAGCCTGGACAGAAGTCAGATTGAAATTGTTTAGCTTCCCACAAAAACAACTGAGAAAGGGGACAGGAACAATTTCAGAAAGGTCTGTTTGGAACCGAGGCCAGTAGCTGGCTTGAAAGAAAATGAAAAAGGAGTGTGTTTCGAGATCTTTCAAACTCAAACAAAACCCAGGCTCCCTCTCGCGTGCTGTAAGCTGGATAAATTTCTCCTCCTTGTCAAGGCAGACAAAGAGATTGTTTCGCAGTGATGGTGAACTCTCCTCCATGTGTGTGCAGCAGGTAGACGAGGATGATGAGAACTGGACCTACAGGAGCCAGCAGAGAAAAGGTGACTCGCTTTCTGTTTAACCCTTGTGATGGCTGCTGCCGTGTCAGCCCACGTTTCGTGCTGTTGTCCAGCTGCTCGGGTCCCGCTGGGAGCCGGGAGCCGCAGGTGGGGTAGGAGGAGGAGGACAGCACAAAAGCCTAGGCGCAGCACCACCTTGCCAAGTTTTTCCCAGGTTAAAACTGTGAAAGCTTATAGTAATCAACAGGGGAAACCTTTAATTTCCCATCTGGGCAACATAAAGGTACTGACTGTGTGGTGTCTAGGTAAGTTTTGCTTATGCTTCTTGTAGCTGGTTGTCACTGATGGCAGATCCTTTGGGCAGGTGCTGCAGGTGTCTCTCTATGTTGTACCAAAGCCATTTTAAGATGCCACTTGTAACAGACAAGGTAGCTTTTTGCATGGCTGCCTCATGATCCTGCTGGAAAATTTTAAGTATATTTTGTTTTATGAGGGCAGATCGAGAAGAGGTCCCAGATGCAAAACAAAAGAGATGGTGGTTTGGAGATGGGAATCGATCCACAGATAGGAGGAAGGACATCTAGGATGTGATATAGGCAGCTCTGAATGAACCCTTGAAATACTCAAATCTGGAGTATATTTTATACGAGACTTCGAAAAAGTACTTCTGTTTTTTGAGTTTGGTTTGGGGTTTGGGGTTTTTTTTCCCCCTGAGTGGAGTTTGTCAGGAATTTACTCGAGCATACCTCATGTTTACCATAAATCAAAATAAATTTCAGAAGTTTGCTTCTCTGAGATGGTGAGCTGCTGTTAGAAGTGCATTTACTAGCTGGCAGGCAGTGAGGGGGTGTGGGGGGTGTGGTTCAAAATACTTGATAAAGTGATTTGATTGTAATTTCTCTAGTGCTGCCAGAGCACTAGTTTGTTAATGGGAAGTGTAAGGTTGACTCTGTTCTGCTGTAAGGTCACCTTTGTAAGAGCAGGCAGGCTCTCCAAGGGCATTTGAACTTGAAAGGGATTTTTATTTCTTTTCATTTCTGTGAGAAGTTAATAGCTATTTGTCCAGAAGTTCAGTTCTGAGTCAGAATAAACTGTGGCTTTAGTAACTGGTTTGGATGCAGGAACACTAACTAACACAGGATGTATGTGCTTGTGCTTTGCTCCCAGCACACTAGGAGAGGATTTTAATCTGTGCTTTGAAGATTGTTTTTTAACCCCTTTTGCTGCTGAAAAACTTCTAAAAAGGGAGCTTGCATTGGCAACCAGTGGCTAATTTTTACTTTTGATTGTTGGCATATTGATATTCTACAGCAATGTCTGATACAATTCTAATGCCTGTGGGATCTTATATGCTGTGGATCAGAACTGCGTAGTCCTGCTGCTGGTCAGTGTGTAACTTCCATAAAGTTTCTCATGCTGCCTTCCTTAGCCCATGCTCACGCCACAAGGCAGAGATGGGAAGGGAAGCTTTACTGATGGATTAATGGTGTATTAATTTTTCTGAGTGATTTACATAAAGAGCCCATTGTACAGGCTGGAGGGGGAGGGCAGAATTCCTCCTGTAATTGGGCAGCAAGCTATGAAAGCCTCCCTGCCTGTCTGTAGTGGAGATGACAATATGTCATTTTTGAAAGGAAGGTGGAGGTGGGTATAGATTATGCACGTTTAATTTCCCCTTTGCAGGGTACAATTTGACTCGACTTATAAAATCTGTCTGGATCATAAATGTAACTGTGCACTTCTGTCTGACTGGGATCCTCTGCTTGGAGGGAGCTGACAAACTGGCAGGGCTTGCCAGGGCTGAAGGGAGTTTGGGTTATATACTGGGCAGGAGAAACTTGTCATGGCTGCAAGTGTTTCACACAGGGCTTCAAGTCAGACTTGCACAGTGTTGGAACAGTTTGAGTATCGGTACCTGACTGAGTCATCATCTTGGATTTGTGTTCAAAGGCAAAACATGTCATAAATGAATACTTGTGTTCTCAAATTAGCTTGCTCCATTGGACCGTTGTGTTACTGCTTGCTAGCCTTTGTAAAACTGAGGGCTCAAACCAATATTGTCTTTGGTGCTTGAGTTAACTGCATTGCTTAAAATTGACACAGACTATAAAGAAATGAGATGCACAGCAGGCTGGAAGGATGGCTAGTTTTACACAGAAAACGAAACTTTAAAGTAGCTGAAAAACTTAAAATTTCATCTTTCAAAATAATTTTGCCTCCAGTTAGTCCTCAGGTGAGTTGGTATAAAGGAGAGCCTGACAAATCTCAGGCTTTCTACCTTTTTTCACCTAACTGCATGTGTAAAGGCAGGAGTGTTAACAGAAATGGGAAATGAAGGAATTGTTGTTTTGTTCTGAGCTGCTTCTCTTCCTGTCTTTTTAAACCTCTTATTCTTTTGCCGCTTCATTGCTCTTCCCGTCTCATATTGCATTCCCACGAGGCTGCTAGGTGACAGGCACAAGGCAGCATGTGTTGTGGTGTTTCACTAGCAAAGTGGCTAATCTGCATTGGCTGCAAGTGGGAACCAGCAAACAGCAGCGAGATTGGTTGGATTTGCGAGTTTCAAACGAGCAGGAAAGACAAAAAGTAAATGCTAACTAGGATCCGGGGGCACACCCTGATGATGTCCTGGGCAGCCGAGCTCTGTTTGTGTGGAAGTGAAATCTGGGGCTGCTCATTCGCTCTTCATTTTTAAAAGGTACACAAGTAGTGCAGAGTGTTTTGGAACAGGTGGTGCTACTTAGACTTCACATCAGATAAAGCAGTTACTGAAAGAGACAGTAAAAGTTGATAATAAAATAAAGGTTTGTTTGAAACATTTTTTTCTCAGCCCTCTTCCTCCCCAGTCAGCTGAAGGACCTTTGAAATGGGAGCACACTAACTCCCATGTTTCTCATCCTTAACCTGAATTTTTAGTTCAGATTTCTTACTTTTTGGGGTAGCAGAGGTTTCCTTTACTCTGGAGCACGTGTGGGGGCGAAATTTTATTTTTTTTATTCCCTACACGTGCTCCAAGTGTCCTTTTTCTCTTGTGTAGGCACTCCTTTATCCCTTTCTGTTACAGATGCTCCTGGAGGTTGCTCCAAGAGGAGAGGACAGGCCAGCATGGCTGGAGGTGATCTGAATTCATCTGGCTTGTTAGGGATTGAGCCCGTGGAGCTGACTGTGCTTCATGCGGCTGTGTGTGAGGTGGTGGTACCTGGGCACCTTTGCCAAGGGGTGCTGCTGACTGGGGTTGCCCATCTCATGAAAGTCACCAGAGTGGCAGATGCTAGCCTTCCAGATCATGTAGCTGCTCTGCCATTACCTTGGTCAACAGAGCTGGCTTGTTCTGCTGAGCAGGGTCCTGTGGGTTCAAGAGGCACTTTGTGAGCACTCCGTAACTTCTGTGCATGAGGGATAAAGAGTCTGGTTTCTCTCTCACAGAAGATAACTGTGCGGTGACACCCGCTGCTGGTACAGCTGCTTTGAAGAGGCAGGTGTAGGACCTCTCAGATTCTGATTTTTGCCCAAGTTTTTTGTTGGTAGACATTCTAGTTTTCATCTGCTTTGCTCCTCTGACAGCATAACTCGCTTCTGGTATGCTCAGTGGGAACCCGGGGAACAACTTGATTTTTTTTGCAGTGCCTGAGCCTAAAATTCCCACCAGAAGTCAGGCTGTTTTGCTTACTCATGGTTCCTGGAAAACCGAGCAGGTCCTGGTTTGGGGTCTGTTCCCTGTGTCTTGGTGCGTTTCTGTCTGTGCTGGAGGTGCAGTGGCAAACGTGTGAAATGGGCAGGTGGGATGCTGCTCCTGCCCCCAGGTGTTTTCAGACTGAAGCTCAGAGTGTTTTTTCCCTTAAATAACACATTGTGGAAAAAACAGTTATTTGAATCTGAAGTGAAGGTGCTTGTGTGCATTGCAAAGCGGTTCTGATGTGTGGAAGTATGTAACAGTCATTCATGTGGGCCTGTGCTGTTTACCATGAGTATGACATAGCAAGTTAACTTGGAGTGAGGTAACACGTGAGTCAGTTTATGGTACAGATCTCACCATATTTGACTTTGCAGAAAAGGAGATGAGTCACATTTCAGCATCAGAACATCTTACGGAGTTTTGCTGACTTTTTTTTTTCCCCTCACCTTTCTTCCTTCGCATCGGTTTTGAGGGTTGGAACAGGAGAGCTTGTGACAGCAGCTCTGAGCAGTGCTGCCTTCATGGCTGGTCTTGCTGATCTCCCCACCATACTGACAGGAATGCAGAGAAGGGAAGATGTTTCTCTGAGGTGGTTAAAGACGCTTGAGCCAGTGACCTTATTTCTCTTGTTATTTCCTTCTAACAGTGATCTTCAGGCCAGGTGTTGAAGAAGCACAATTAGCAGTCAGGACTGGCTGCAGGTGGCAGTGCATCAAAAAAAGCTGTTACCCAATGGGGAGGTTGACCCCCTCTCCCCCCAGCTCCTGTCTCTGCTTATTGCTCTGATTTTTTTTTAGCCACTGTCTCTGCAGCCTTTCTGTATCACGAGAAAGTCAAAAGCCTTGGCTGTTTTTTACTGCGGACTTTACTACCTGGAAAACTTACTTGGAGTCTTTGATCAGAGAGTGTTCAAAAAGTGGCAGCCACTGGCTTTCTGCTGTATGCTGGGCAGGTCTCAGCCCTTAGCGTGTGGAATACCCATTTTTTCCTTGCAAAAACAGTCTAAATGTGGAACTTGCTTTTAATGCTAAAAGTCCTCTAAATTCATGAGTAACTACTTGTCCTTTCGTGTCCTTGTGGCATGTCTGTTGGAGGTAATCCTGACAGCCTGATGACAACTTTTACCAAAGCTGTCAGTTAACTTCATAACCACCCGCTGCATATCATGGCTGGAGAACGTCATGCTTACCAAGGGGTTAAATTTCCACCAGCTTAACAATATCTTCTGTCACAGTAGCAATAATGGCACTGCCTTATTATGTCAGTAAAAATGATGCCTATCCTACCAGTGGTTGGTTTAAACGTATATGGCCTAAATTTTATAGTCAGATGAGTTTTTCTTCACATTCCAGAAGCAGTCTGCACT